AGTCGCGCGCCAACCACAGGGAGAGGGCGGGGCGGGGCGAGGGAGGAGCGCGGCGCGGGATTGGCTGAGTGGAGGTAGGAGGCGGGCAAAATTCCAGGCGCGGCACGAGATAGGTCTGGGTCCAAGTTGGGGGTGGGACTCTACGGCGCGGGAAATGCCTAGGGATGGTCCGGGGTCGGGAAACACCGCGAAGGGGCGGGGCTTTTGCCCGGTGCCTGATAGGCTGAAGGCCAGGTTGGCGGCGGGGCTCGTACGGTGCGCGGCTCGGGATAGGTCGGGGCTAGGGAGGGGGCGGGGCTCCCGGGCAGCGGGGTCTAGACTCGTCGTGTGTTCGGCCCCTTGGTGACGTTCCTCGGCTGGTTTCTTCCTGGTTCTCAAATCGGGGTACGCTGGAAGCGGTGCAGCGCCCTTCCTCTCCTGCCCCAGTGTGGCCGGGGTTCCTCGGGCCCGGGCCGCGGGTGCCCACGGAGCCGGCCGTGCTCCCCGCTAACCCAGGCCCCCCTCAGCCGCCTGCCCCGAGCCAGGCCTCGCCTTGCGGGGAGGATACGAACCGGGTGGGAATTTAGGCCTTTGGCTTGCTAAGCAGGCGCTCTACTGTCTGGGCCACATTCTCTGGTTCTGAGACCCACAGGCCAGAGCCTTCCCCGCAGCCAGGCGGCCCACACTGCCCTGGGCCGGGCCCACACTGCCCTGGGCCGGGCCCACACTGCCCTGGGCCGGCCCCACACTGCCCTGGGCCGGGCCCACACTGCCCTGGGCCGGGCCCACACTGCCCTGGGCCGGGCCCACACTGCCCTGGGCCGGGCCCGGGGAAGGAGCTTGCAAGTCAAGCAAGCTGCCTCCAGCTGCCGCGCCGGGCCGGGGCTGGGCCGCCCTGGGGACTGCCGAATGGCAGAGCCTGCCACCAGTATGAGCCCCACACGCACAGTGGCGATCGAGGCAACTTGAGATTATGAGAATTCCCGACCGTGATCAAGTCACTAGTTTATCTTTACCCAAATGACAGCGCCCTCTCCGGTGAAGTCTCTCCTCTGGTGGAGGGCACCCCTTCCTCAACTCACCCTCCAGACATCGCCCACTGGAAAATGGGTAAGCACCCTGTCCCTCTTCTGTGTAATGGAGGAAAATGAGCCCCAGGAAGACAAGCGCAATGGTGACCCTGAGCAGGAGGAGCACGGTGCCACCCCCCCCTTCCCATCCTGTCCAGGCCCCAAGACCCATCTCAGCACCATTTGAAAAATTTTGGCCGTGTGTGTGGTATGGAGTCACTGAAGTTTCTGCCCGGTTGCTGGCATTGACTTCTCCAGGGTGTGGGCCAGTCAAGCCTTTTCCTAAATGTTCCCCACGCTGTCCCAGTCTGCACAGACCACCATCGGTGCCACCGCAAGCCTTCAGTCAGTAAAGGAGTGGCTGATTTAATTAAACGAACTGCAGAGGCGCTCTGGGTAAGTGGCCCAGCTGGCATGGAAGGGCCTGCCATGGGCGGTGGGGGGGGAGATAGGGGATGGCATTACTCCCCTCCAGGACACCTGGCAAGTCCAACCTGGGCTGCAGCTCTAGTGTGCAGTGCACTCAGGTGGGTGGTTAAGATTGGGAGAGGGGAGCAGCATCTGATCCTTGTGCATGCAGTGCGTGCGTGCTTGCATAGATGGGGGAGGGGCATCATTGGACAGGTTTGTGTGACTGTGGAGCCACACTCTAGCCCTGCTTTTTTAGTGATTGTTTTTAGGACAGGACTTCCCTCCTGGATAATTGCGCCTGAGCTGCGATCCACCTACTTTTAGGCTTCTGACTGTCCCTGAAATTGCAGGCCTGTGTCACTGCGTCCACTCTTCCGTGGAGGTGGAGACTCAAATACTTTCCTTCCTGAGCTGACTTGGCACCAGGATCCTCTCTCTTAGCCTCCCATGGAGTCGAGAATGACAGGCGTGTGCCCACCTCAGAAACTTTTCCGCCCTGGCTGACATTGAGCTGGGAGGCCTCTGAACTCCCATTCTTAGTCTCCAGAGTAGTTACTGCGTCAGGTATGAGCCACAGCACTCAGCTTTTAATCTGGTTCTGCTTCCCACTCCTGTGTAGCGGGGATGGCAGGCCTGTGCCACCACACCCAGCCAGGTGATTAGTCTTTAAAAACTTTTCATATTCTTGGTCTGTCTTACCTCAGCTTGCTCTGCTTTGTTTTCTGGGCAAACATGGCTTGGCTTAGTGATACCAAGATGCAGGGATCCATCTTGACCTGTCTGCAGCCATCATGGCACTAACCCCACGCCACCCACCAGCGATCCTGGTGCTACCCTAGCCTGCAGGGAAGTTTCTGAGAGAGCCAGTTAGACGTCTACCACCCTAACCACTGACAAGCTGGCCACACAGATTTATGGGACGATCTCCAGCAAGAAGCTCAAGGGACAGAGTGCCAGCCTTGCACAAAAAAGCCAAGTGAGAGTATGAGGCTGAGTTCAAAACCCAGTGTCTACACACATGCATACACACAAAAAGCCAAGTGAGGACGATGTGCTGGCCTGTACACACATGTGCATACGCACGCACACACACACACACACACACACACACACAGGATGGTCAGCTGAAGACAATGCTGGCCTGCATACACGCATGTACATGCACACACACCCAGGACAGCTAGCTGAGGCCAGGTGTTGGCCGTGGGTACACAGACTTTCCTGGGTGACACTGGCCAGGTGTATTACAGTTGTCTGCGGCCCACTGGGCCCAGCTTAGTGGGTAACCCCTCCTGTGCCTGGGGATGTGTGATACTGTTGCTGCCGCTGGTGACAGGCTGGACAGCTTGGACCATCCTGACATCTCGTCTGTCCACCTCCTCTGTCCAGCGGCAGCCCTCACCCTGAGCAGTGGCTGTTTCTTTGCGGGCAGGCCTTTCCCCTGGGCAGCATCACCAAGACTGGTCGTGGGAGTGGTCACCACTTAGCATAAAAGCCACAAGACAAAATCAAGACTAACAAACCATGACCATTCTCACTCAGTGGCTTCTGGGTATGTTTATTACAACATGGCCCCAACTGGACACACTTGACGCGCCCATCCATTATCACTGGACACGTATCACGTGACTGTTATCACTGGACACATGCGTCATGTGATCATTATCACTGGACACACGCCACGTGACTGTTATTACTGGACACGTGTGTCATGTGATCCATTATCACTGGACATGTACCACCTGACCATATGTTCTCACAGGACACGTGCCATGTGACCGTGTGTTCTCACAGGACACGTGCCATGTGACCGTGTGTTGTCACAGGAGATATGCCGCTTGCGTGCCGACTCTTTCAAGCACTTAGGCTCATTTTAGATAGCACAAATGTTTTTAAAAATGTAGACAGTGCTGGCTTTCAGATGTTTAAAATCATAGAATTCAGTGGGTTCAGTTGAAGGCTTACATAGAAAAATAAAAGTTCAGAAAATAGTTTTCCTATGTTTTGCTTATGGCGCTGGTGTATGGGCAGGGAGCACACAGCTGCTGCTGGCTGGGGAGGAGTCTGCCGTCCGTCTGTCTGACCGGTCTCAGCTCTGTTGGGTCTAAAACAGCTGGATCATGGACTCTCGGGACTTGCCGACACCAACCCATTTGACTAGAAGCACAACAGAGCGGGTCACAGCACATGACTACCCAGTGTGGCGTCTCCACGCGACCCACTGGGCAAAGGGGCACTGCTCTCCGAGTGCAAACTCTTTAATTTTCTAATGATAAAGACCACTCAGTAGGGGTTTGCCCACCGACAACAGGAAGCAGAGCAACCCCCGCCCCCCGGTCTTGGATGAGCTGGCAGCCATGGGTCTGAGTGACCTCTGACCCACACTCACAGCTGTGAGTCCTGCCCGCCGTCCACACGTTGGGCAGCTAGTGCTTCTATCTGGTCCCGGGGCCCCGCCTGGCTGCAGCTTCTCAGGCTGGAGGCACCTGTGCCTCGCTCCAGCCTTTCACGGATACATTCACTGGTCTCCACACCTGGCCCTCTGGCAGGGCCCGGGCCCCCTGGGCACCCACCTGCCACACCCACATGGTTCTCCACAAACCGCACGTAGCTCTGGGCCTGGGGAGGCAGATCCTCCCACTTCCTGGCGCTCGTGGTGTCAGCTTTCCAGCCGGGCAGCGTCTCATACTCCACCTCCACCTTCTGCAGTATCTCCTGGTTAGCTGGGGGACACATGGGGTCAGTGGGGACCCCCGACCACCCTGCCAGGCCAGAGCGTGGTGCCCGAATGCAGCTACTCAGCAGGTGAGAAGCCAGGAGGGACGGGGCCCTGCAGCGCAGCGGAAGTGCCTCCAGGCCCTGCGTGAGCACTGAGCCCGGATGCGGTCTCAAGGATCCACACCCTGAGTCCCGGACCCCTGGCTCACAGTGGATGCTAACACCCCCTTACTGATGGAAAGTGCTGGAATGAGTGCCACGGGGATGAGGGCCCTGGTCACCTAGGACAGCCACAGCCGTGGGGCACTTCTGGGCCTGCTCAGGCCTAGGCAGGGGCCCAGCCCGGGGCACCCGCCGGGCAGCTGCTGGGAGAAGGAGTGACCAGATGCATTCATCACAAGGCAGGTGGGCCAGTGTCCCGAGAGAGTGCAGGCTAGGGGCCCAGGGGCCTGTCCCTGCTGCCTCACCACTGGAGGGTACTGGAGAGTGCCTACAGCTGCCTGGGGACCCGCCTGGTCTCCCCAAGGACCCACAAGAGGCCCAGCTGGAAGGAACGAGGTCTTTGGGGGTAAGCAGCCCCCCCGACACCAGGGAAACGCGGCCCCTTCACACACCTGGGAAGTAGGGGGTCCTCCTCCCGCTGAGCTTGTATGCGATGCCAACCTTGATCTCACCCAGGACGTCCAGGACGTCCAGCTTGGTCAGTGCCAGCCTGCCCCCAAGCCAAGAGAAGACAGTGACTGTGCTGCCGCCGCTCTCCTCGGCCTCTCCTCCACAGTGAATGGGGAAAAGATCGGGTGGCACCACAAAGACAGCGGTCTGAGCAGGGATGTCTTCGGGCCTGCGCCACGTTTAGTCATCTAGCCCCCGCCTGTCGTTCCCACACTAGAGGCGTCTCTCCAGCAGCCTCGCTTTCCCGCTTGCTGTCTGGAGCCTGTCTGTGGCGCCTGCTGCATCTGCTCTGTCGCACGCCCTCGGTGGGATCTCTGCCTCCTCAGGCCTGCCCACCCTCGGGCCTGCCAGCACAGAACTACAGAAGGCACCCACAGCACGGCCTTCCCGGCTCCTTCCTTGGTACACCCTGTCTAAGGGAACCCAAGTTCTTTTCTCCCTTTTTTTTTTTTGTGTGTGTGTGTGTGTGTCCATCACGGGGCTTGAACTCTGGGCCTGGGCGCTGTCTCTCAGCTCTTCCACTCAAGGCGAGCACTCTACCACTTGGACCACAGTGCCACCTCTGGTTTTCTGGTGGTTTATTGGAAATAAGAGTTTCATGGACTTTCCTGCCAGGGCTGGCTTTGAACAATGATCCTCAGATCTCAGCCTCCTGAGTAGCTAGGATGACAGGCGTGAGCCACCAGGGCCTGGCCCCTTTTCTCTTTTCTACCCTCTATGACAGGCTTCATCAGCCTAAGGTGGTGTGCTGAGAGGTACCGGGCAGTGCTGTCCTGACTATGACGTTCCTATCAGGAAGCCCACTCAGATACCATGCCATCATTGCCTATTCCGTCCCCTGCATAGGGCCCTGGGACCACTCAGATACCACGCTATCAACATCCCCTTCCTATCACCTGCACAGAGCCCTGGGACACTGCACACCATGCCACCAATGCTCCCATAACACTGCATAAACCCTTGGGACCTCTCTGCTCCCTGCCCCGCCCCCCACCCCGGCCCCTCCCTCAGGAAATCACTCCAACATTCTGAAGATGGCAAGGAAGGTTCGATCCTTGGAGCTCATGGGAGGAGGGCTGTGGCGATGTGAATCTAAACAGCTTCCTCTGCTGTCTTGTCTGTAGGACTTTGCCTTACGGGGATGATATCTTGTGCCCTTTCTCTTTGGGGTTCTTCCCTAGGAGCCCCAAATGAGCTCCTGGTGACCAAGGGGAGCTGTGGGGCAGTGGCCCTCTCTGTGCTAGAGGTGCCAGAGTCTGCTTGCCCCTCGGGGGTTCCCAGTGGGGTTTCAGGACACCACCTGCAGGATAAAGCTTGAGAGACCAGGCCCTTCCCCACCTGATGCCACCCCAGACCCTTGGTGTCAGGAATAAATGGCCATCTGTTGTCCACCTGCCAGCTTGTCTGCTCCTTAGTTCTGCCATCCCTTTGGATCTGCCAAACCTTTGGAAGGATGTCCTCAGGCCTCAAGACAAGGCCAGGGACTGCACTTGGAACATGGTGGGGAATGAATGATAGGGTCCCTGCAACCCTCAGTGTGTGTGTGGGAGGGGTCGGGGAGGCCCCTCCAGGAGTACCTGCCAGACCACACCGGCCCTCACGTGACCCCTGCCGGCCCACGCCAGTCCTCACGTGACCCCTACCAACCCCCCGCCAGTCCTCACGTGGCCTCAGCAGAAGTTCATGACTGCTGAGGACAAAGGTATGACCTTTGTTCTGGGCTGCTGTCCACCTGTGTGGACGCCTTCTGCCCTATCTTCACTGGGACCCCTGGGCCTGCCTCCATGCCAGTAGCCCAGGGACAGCTCTCCATCGACAAGGGTCCCACACAGATGCTGTGGCCCTCAGACTCTGGGTTGAGCTCTGCAGGCCTTGTGGGTGTCCAGGTCCAGGAGTCCCTATGGGGATGGACAGGCTGCCCCGGGGTGGGGTGTCCAGAGGGCTGCTTACGCAGTGAATCCATTGACCATATGGGCGTATCTCAGGATCATCAGGTCCAGCCAGCCGCAGCGCCTCTTCCTGCCTGTGGTCACTCCCCACTCATGGCCACGGTTCTGTAACAGTTCTCCAATTTCCTGGGTGAGAAGAGAGAGGATGTCCAGCCCTGCTGTGCACCTGCCTTCCTCTCTCTCCCCCTTCCTCCTCCTCTTTCTTCCCCCTCTTCCCTTCTGCCCTTTTCTCCTCTCTTCTCTGCCCTCCTCCTCAGCCCCTTCTCTTCCTCCTCCCCTTCCCTCACTCCCTATTCCTCCCCACTTTCCTCCTCTGCACAAGAATCCTCAACACCCCTCTACCCCATAGAACAACCTCCATGTCCCAGCCTGGTGCACCCATGCAGTTCTGGGCTGGCAGCCCTTCTGAACACTCTAGAAGGCTGGCTTTGCTTTATGGGCTGAGTGCGGGTGGCTTCCCTCCCTGCTCCCTCCTGCTCAGTGCGGGTAGGTAAGGTGGGGCTGGGCTGTCGAGTCCCCTGGCCACTCTAGATGTGGCCACGCCCCTGGAGGGGAGCTCCCGACTGGAAGCCAGGTGCTCTGCTGCTAGCTCTGATTCTGGGAACAGCAGCTCAGGCTCCCGAGGCCCTCCAAAACAGCTGCAGCCCAACCCCAGTAACCTTTCTTTCTGGATGTTCTGAGGGTCTTCACTCGTCGATGGGCCTCAGATACTTGGGTATACACGAGCCCCCACCCCCCGTGCGTACTGCACTCCCCACCATGTCTCATCGGTGCTGATGTGGTGAAGCAGGCTGGACTTCCAGGCCCCTTCCTGACGTCCGACACCCTGGCCGCACCGGAGGTGAGGCATCACGCCGGGTGAGGAGTGGGGTCCACAGCATCCCGCGGCCCTGCCACCTGCAGCCCGAGGCCCCGACTCACATTGATCTGCTCGGTAGGGAAGGCCCCGATGCCCACGCGGGTGGTGTAGGCTTTCACCACGCCATACACATCGCCGATGTTCTGGGGGGGAATGCCTAGGCCCGTGCACACGCCGCCCACCGTGCAGTTGGAGGAGGTCACGAAGGGGTAGGTCCCTGCGAGACGGAGGCGGCGTCACCTCATCCTCCCGCCCCCGGCCCAGGTCCTCTGAGCAAAGGGCAGTGGGTGGCTGGACACGGTGGGGGCGGGGCAGCAGAGCCAGGGTATGGGCAGCTGTGCCTGGCAGGGCCTGCGAGGGCACCGGTGCTGGGGCCTTGGCGCTCACAGGCGTTGGGAGTGAGGATGGGAGGCTGCCCTCGTGAAGGCTGAGGCAAGGGAAGCCTGCAGGCAGCCGTGGGGAGACAAGAGGAGCCCAGCCCCCCACCCCCCCGTCCCCATCCCCCCTCCCCGTCCTCACCCTCACCCGGTCCCCGTCCCCACCCGGTCCCTGTCCCAGTTCCCCCACCGCACCCTATAAACGGACAGCTCGCTGCTGTGCCTGGCACTGTGGCCTCAAGGTGGTCTGGCCTCATCCCTGGATTGCCAGGCTCTTGGTGGCCAGCCCGTCCCCTGGGGCCTGGCCCTGCTGCCCAGCTCTCCGTGGCCAGCCTGGTGGACAGGTCTGCCCAGGCCCACGGGCCATACCGAAGTCGATGTCAAGAAGGGCTGCGTTGGCGCCTTCCACCAGGATCTTCTTGGGGGGCCCGTGGAGGGCCTCATACATGAAGTAGACGCCGTCTCGCACCATGGGTCGGATCCGCTCGGCAAAGCCCTGGGAAGACCAGCCAAGGGGAGGCTGCAGGCGGGGAAGGGGGTGCCCCCCACCAAGCCTGCCAGCCCAGGGCACCCGAGGCCCGAGGCCCCAACTCTGCCCCCTCCCCCGGCACTGGGTCTCTGTCCATGGCTGACCTTGAGCCTTTTCAGTTGACCTTCAACGTCTATCTCCAGGGTGGGAAACATGGACTGGTGCTGGAGGGCCAGGTTCTTGAATCTGCAGGGAGAGCCTTGCTTTGACTGCATGGTGTGTGGCACGCCATGCCCGCCCGGGGCTCCCAGCCCCCCTGCAGCCCCCGCGCCTCGTCCCTCACAGGGCCCGCCCGGGGCTCCCAGCCCCCCTGCAGCCCCCCTGCAGCCCGTCCCTCCTCACAGGGCCTGCCTGGGGCTCCCAGCCCCCCTGCAGCCCCCAGGCCCCATCCCTCACAGGGCCCGCCTGGGCTCCCAGCCCCCGCGCCTGTCCCTCCTCACAGGGCCCGCCTGGGGCTCCCAGCCCCCCTGCAGCCCCCCATGCCTGCCTGCTGGGCTGGGTACCTGGTGGAAAACTCATCGAAATCTGACAGCAGGTCGCAGATGCGGAGGCCGGTCCGGGCGGCCTTGGAGGAGTACGTGGGTCCGATTCCCTTCTTCGTGGTGCCTATGCTGAAAGGCGCGTGAGCTGGTGAGGAGCAGCCCCGCTGGGCTGGCTCCGGCCTGCGGGGGCCGAGGCCGGCCTGAACGAAGGCTGGGAGGTGGAGGACGGCGGGGCTCCGGGACCCTGCCCTCCCCCCGCGTGCCCAGCGGTGGCTTTGTCCACGCTGTCCTGCTGGCTTCTGCCTGGCGCGGCAGGTGAGGCCTGGGGTGCCTTGGCTGCTGCCTCCCGGGATGGCGATGGCGGCTGAGCCCCGCACCCCAAAGCCAAGCCCGGGAGGCTGGAGGCTGCCACTGCCACCGCGTTCGTGCAGGTGTGTGTGTGTGCGGCCATGGGGGCCGGCAACACGTGTGAGCATGCGTGCTTGTGTGTGCAGGTGTGTGAGCGGGAGAGTGCAGTGCAGAGTGTGTGTGATCAGCAGGGCCCGCCCCTCCCCTGCAGAAGCCTCCCCCACGCCAGGCCAGGCCCCTCCTCCCCCAGGTCCAGTCCTGGGAGCCATGGGAGAGCCAGGCACTTACTTCTTCCCCTCCTGAGCTTGGCGCTGAACCTCCTGCAGCCCGTCCACTGCCTGGTGGAAGTCAAACACTGTGGCAGGGGACAGAGGCTCACGGTGAGGGCCTGGCCATCAGACGCATGGCCAGAAGCAGGTGCCTGCCCTCCAGAAGCCCCGGCTCCGCTCTGCCCCATGCAAGTCACACAAGTGTAGCAGAGCTGCCTGCAAACAAGGCCCGCAGCCCCCAGCCCAGCCCCCCTCTCCGCCCCCCACCCCCCCACGCTCCCCCCACAGCTCTTGGAAGGCGGCGAGGACTGTGTGAGCAAGGCAGGGCCTGGGCTCTCGGGTCCTGGGGCAGAGACCACTGGCCATGGGGGGTCCTTACCCAGGTGGGCCCGGTCAGAGATGATGAGCCGCTTCTCCCAGTCCTTCAGACCTGAGGGTACGTGACACACATGGGCAGGGTTCCAAGGCTGCCCTCCAGCGGATGTGCCAGGCCGCCAGGCGCCCAGCTCCACGGGGAAGCCCACGGTCCAGAGGCCAGAAGAACCTGGTCCTGGACAGCCAGCGGTGGGCTGCCCCTCCCCCCCACCATGCTCCTGGCTGGGCATCCCCTGCCCTCCCCCC